CCTCAATCCCCATTACCCCCCCTCCACACCCCCAAACACCTCCTAGACCCCCTATAACCCCCATTGAGCACCTCAATCCCCATTACCCCCCTCCACAACCCCAAAGCCCCAATCACCTCCTAGATCCCCTATAACCCCCCCTTAACCCCCTCAATCCCCATTAAAGCCCCGCCGAACCCCAAAGCCCCCAAACGCCCACTTCCTAGATCCCCACAACCCCCATTGAGCACCTCAATCCCCATCACCCCCCTCCACATCCCCAAAGCCCCAAACACCTCCCAGACCCCATATCCTCATTAAAGTCCCCTCCACACCCCCCAAAGCCCCAAGCACCTCCTAGACCCCCATAACCTCCCTCAACCCCCTCCATCCCCATTACCCCCCTCCACACCCCCAAAGCCCCAATCACCTCCCAGCCCCCCTATAAACCCCCCTTAACCCCCTCAATCCCCATTAAAGCCCCCCCGAACCCCAAAGCCCCAATCACCTCCCAGCCCCAATAACCCCCCCCTTAACCCCTCCATCCCCCCCTATGACACCCCCAAACCCCCCCCCCATCCATGATCCCCGCTCACCGCACTGAGCCCGAGGGTGCCGCGGACCGGAGCCGGTGTCAGCCCATAGAGCACCCCGGCCCCGGCCAGCGCCCCCAGCACCTGGGCCAGGAGGTACCCGACGGCCCTGGCCACCGAGAGCTGCGAGGCCATGAGCATGGCCATGGTAACGGCCGGGTTGATGTGGCCGCCGCTCACGGCTCCCAGTGCCTGCACCAGGGTGGCCTGAGCCAGCCCGAAGGCCAGGGCAGCCCCCAGGACATTGGGGGGCCCCGGCACCCAGCGCAGGGACGCCCCCAGCCCCAGCAGGGTGTAGAGGAGGCTGCCCAGGAACTCGGCCAGCACGGCCCTCCAGAAGGAGGACGAGCGCAGCTCCCGCATTGCCTGGCCCCGCTCCTGCGGCCCCCCCACCCCCCCCCCCCCCCGCTCCGCTCCCCTCCCCGGGGGGCCGCCCGCAAACCCCTTTATAACCCCCCCCCCCTCCCGCCGCCCCCCCCCGTGTTCTGACCCCCAACCCCCCCCCTTCCCCTTCATTAACCCCTTCGCTGCCCATAGGCACACAAAGAGGGAACCCCCCCCCCATCGGGGACATCCCCCCTCCTCCATCCATAGGGCTGCTATGGGGGGGGGACGGACACCACACGACGCTGCCCCATAGATGGGTGGGAGCACAATACAGGGAGCACCTCCCCCTGCCCCACACATAGAGGGGGGGATCGGGGCCCCCTGCTCTGTTGTGTGGGGGAGCATTGATTGAGCCCGGCTTAGCGGCCCCCGGGGGGGGGATTAGAGCCCGGCGCGGCCATTGGCGCCCATCGGAATCTGCCGGGGCTGCAGAGGCTGCCACAAAGCGCTTTGCTGCGCTCAGCGCCCGGCACGGGGCAGCCATGGGGGGCCCGGCCCCCCCCTTCCCTTCCCTATGGGGCCGCAGGGAGGGGGAACCCGCATGGGAAAGGAGGGGGGGGCATCGGGGTCTTGCAGCCCCATTGGGACCCCCCTACAATAGAAACAGTCGGATCCAAACCCGGCTTTAATGATGGGGGGACGGGATCCAGGACCCCCTGCTCACCCCCTCCCGTCCCTTCCCTATGGGGCCGCAGGGAGGGGGAACCCGCATGGGAAAGGGATGGGGGGGGGGGGCATCGGGGTCTTGCAGCCCCATTGGGACCCCCCCACAATAGAAACAGTCGGACCCAAACCCGGCTTTAATGATGGGGGACGGGATCCAGGCCCCCGGCTCCTATGGGGTTGTGGGGCTGCGGGCGGGGGGCGAGGAGGGGGCCGGGCCGGTGGCCACGGCCCTGCAGAGCAGGCAGGAGCGGAGCTGGTCCCGGGGTGCGCAGGGAGCCAGGAGGAAGTCATGGAGGAACCCGGCCAGCAGCGAGCCCAGCACCGGCCCCAGCCAGTACACCTGGGGGGGGATACGGGGGTCGGGGGGGGACATGGGGCGGGGGGGGGGGCATGGGGCAGGGGGGGATACAGGGGTCGGGGGGGAGCCATGGGGCAGGGGGGGCACAGGGGTAGGGGGGGAGCCATGGAGCAGGGGGGGACACAGGTAGGGGGGATGCACGTGAAGGGTCGGGTGCCCCAGGGGTACGGGGATGTGGGGTCGGGGGCTGCTGGTACTGAGCAAGGGATGGGGGCACAGGGACCCACAGGGGTAGAGATGGGAACTGGATTGGGGTAGGGATGAGGATGGGGACAGGGATGAGGATGGGGAAGGGATGAGGATGGGGAGAGGACAAGGATGGGGAGAGGGATAAGGATGGGAACAAGGAGATGGGAACAAGGATGGGGACAAGGATGAGGATGGGGATGGGGACAAAGATGAGTGGAGACAAGAATAGGGATAAAGACAGATGGAAAAGGATGGACGGGGATAGAGATGGAGACAAGGATGGGGATGGGGACAATAGGGACAAGGACGGATGGGGACAAGGATGGACGGGAATAAGGAGATTGGGACAGGGATGGATGGGGACAAGAACGGGGACAGGGATGGGGCAAGGATGGGGACAGGGATGGACGGGAACAAGGATGGTGACAGGGATGGGGCAAGGATGGGGACAGGGATGGGACAGGGATGGATGGGAACAAGAATGGGGACAGGGATGGGGCAGGGAAAGGACTGACTGGAGGACCCTGCTCCATGGGGGGCTCACAGGTTTGGGATGGGGGGACCAGGGAAGCCCCTCCCAAAGGATTGTGGGGACCCATCCTGGGATGGAGGGACCCGAACTGGGGCTGCAGCTGGGACAAGGGGGTGCGAATGGACACGGGGGGGGTCCCCAATGGGGCTCGGGGGGGGGGCACACCCCAAACTCACCCAATGATGGTCCCAGACCCCGGTGACGAGCGCCGGCCCCAGTGAGCGCGCGGGGTTCAAGCTGCCCCCCGAGACCGGGCCCTGGTGGATGGGGGGGGGGGGGTCAGAGCCTGGGGGGGGGCACCGGCACCGGGGGGGGGTTCGGGGGGGTCCTCACCGCAGCCAAGGCACCGGCGGCCACGGCGCTGCCCAGGACCAGGGGACCCCCGCCATGGGGGGGGGCCCGGGAGGAGGAGGCGAAGGTGGCCAAAGCCAAGGGGATGGTGGCCAAGGCCTCCCAGACCAGGGCCTGTCCTGGTGTGACCTGAGGGCTCACCTGCGGGTGGGGAGGGGAATGGGGACAAGAACTGGGATGGGAATGGGATGGGGATGGGGATGGGGATGGGGATGGGGACAAGAACTGGGATAGGATGGGGATGGGGATGGGGATGGGGAAAGAACTGGGGTGGGGATGGGGATGCGAATGGGGATAGGGATAGGGATGGGGATGGGGACAAGAACTGGGATAGGATGGGGATGGGGACAGGAATGGGGATAAGAATAGGGATGGGGATGGGGACAAGAACTGGGATGGGGACAGGGATGAGGATAGGGAGGGGGACAAGAACTGGGATGGGATGGGGATGGGGACAGGGATGGGGATGTGGATGAGGATAGGGATGGGGTTGGGGACAAGAACTGGGATGGGGACAGGGATAGGGATGGGAATGGGGGACAAGAACTGGGATGGGATGGGGATGGGGACGGGGATGGGGACGGGGATGGGGACAGGGATGTGGCTGGAGAGGAGAGCAGGGACAAGGATGGGGACAAGAACTGGAATGGGGACAGGGACGAGGATGGGGACAGGGGTGAGGATGGGGACAGGGATGAGGATGGGGTTAGGGATGGGGATAGGGACAAGGCTGTGTCTGGAGACGAGAACAGGGATGAGGCTGGGGATGAGGATGGGGACAGGGATGAGGATGGGGCCGGGTCCGGTTCCGGGGCACTCACCCTGGGGACGATGCCGGTGCCCTGGGGCAGGGCCAGGGTCGCAGCGGCCGCCGCCAGCAGCGCCCCGCAGCACTGGGCCAGCAGCAGCAGGGCCGCGCGCCCCGCACCCAGCCTGCGGGTGCCGAGCAGGGCCAGGGTGAGCGCGGGGTTGGCCTGGGGGGCCCCGGGGGTGCTGCCGAGCGCGGCGGCCGCCAGGCCCCCCCCCAGCGCCGGGGCCACGGCTCCGGGGGCTGCCGAGGAGCCCAGCACCAGCGCCACCAAGAGCAGAGAGGCCACGGCCTCGGCCAGCGCCACGCGGCACAGGCACCCGGTACCCGGCTCCTGGGGGAGAGGGGGGGCATGGGTGAGGGTGCAGGGGTGAGGGTGCAGGGGGTGAGGGCATGGGTGACACCATGGGTGACATCATGGATGAGATTAGGGGTGATGGCATGGGTGAGGGCAGCAGGGGTGAGGGCAGCAGGGGTGAGGGCAGCAGGGGTGAGGGTGCATGGGTGAGGGCAGCAGGGGTGAGGGCAGCAGGGGTGAGGGCAGCAGGGGTGACTGCATGGGTGAGATGAGGGGGTGATGATATGGGGTGACGTCATGGGTGACGTCATGGGTGACGTCATGGGTGATGTCATGAGTGATGTCATGAGTGATGTCATGAGTGATGGCATGGGTGACATCATGGGTGATGGCATGGGTGACGTCATCATGGGTGAGATCAGGGGTGATGTCATGGGTGAGATGAGGGGTGCCATCATGGGTGACATCATGGGTGACATGATGGATGAGATCATGGGCGACATCATGGGTGATGTCATGGACGAGATCAGGGGTGACGTCATGGGCAACATCATGGGTGACACCATGGGTGACATGATGAGTGACATCACGGTAAGTAAGATCATGGGTGATGTCATGGGTGACATGATGGGTGACATGATGGATGAGATCATGGGCAACATCATGGGTGATATCATGGGTGATGTCATGGGTGACACCATGGGTGACATGGTGATGGGGTGCCACAGCCATAGGGTGACCCAGTGACAGAGCACCCTGGAGCCCGGGTGTTGTGGCAATGGGGTACTTCAGTGACCGGTCACCATGGCAACGTGGTACCTCAGTGCTGGGATACCCTGGTGCTGGGGTACCCTCATGATGGGGGCACCATGGCAACCGCAGCACCATGGTGACCCCGATGGGTGCCGGGGGGGGCGTTACTGCAGTCATGGAGTTGGGGGGCTGCCCCCCCCCAAGCAGGGAGGGACCTGGCGGGGGGGGCCATAGAATGGGAAGGGGTCAGGGCCGTTCTTACCTCTGTGATGGCCATGGCGCAGCAGTGGGGCTGAGGGCGGTGTGGGGACACCCACAGACAGGTCCCACCCCCCCGGGGTGCAGGAGGGGGGGAGCTGTGGGGCAGGACCCTTTGATGGGGCGGGGGTAAGGCCCTGAGCATCCCTGGCGCCATGGCAACCGCTGGACCACTGGGGGTTGCCATGGCGACCGGAGATGAAAGGGAGGATGAAAGGCGATGGGGAGGGGGGGGGCGCCCCCCATTGCCCCCCCGGCCCTGCCAGCTCAGCAGCCCATGGGGTGAGTCAGCGCGGGCGGGAAGGGCCTGGATCAGCACCCGCGGTGCTGACGGGATGCAAAGAGCCAGAACAATCGGGGCCCCGCTGGGACAAAGGGGATGGGGAGAGGGACACGGGGAGGGACAGGGGACAGGGACAGAGGGAGATGGGGATGGAGACAGGGACATGGACAGAGGGAGATGGACACAGGGACAAGGGGAGGGACAGGGGACAGGGACAGAGGGAGATGGGGATGGAGACAGGGACATGGACAGAGGGAGATGGACACAGGGACATGGGGATGGAGATGGGGACATGGGGAGGGAGACGGGGACATGGGGATGGAAATGGGGATGGAGACAGGGATGGAGACAGGAACATGGGGATGGAAATGGGGATGGAGACAGGGATGGACACAGGGACATGGGGAGGGACATGGGGATGGAGACAGGGATGGAGACAGGAACATGGGGATGGAAATGGGGATGGAGACAGGGGGAGAGACAAGGACATGGGGATGGACACAGGGACAAGGGGAGGGACACAGGGACACAGACACAGGGACACGGACACATGGACATGGAGACATGGACACGTATGGACACGGACACATGGACACAGACATGGATACGTGCACACACGGGCACAGGGGCGCTGAGCCCCACTGCTCCCTGCACTGCCCCCACAGAGGGCAAAGGGAGCCCCGTGTCCTGCCCCACAGAACCCCTACTGCCCCCCATCCTGCCCCATAAACCCCCCCGTGTCCCTCATCCTGCCCCATAGACCCCCCGTGTCCCTCATTCTGCCCCATAGATCCCCCATGTCCCTCATTCTGCCCCATAGACCCCCCCTATGACCCTCATCCTGCCCCATAGACCCCCCCATGTCTCTCATTCTGCCCCATAGATCCCCCCGTGACCCTCATCCTGCCCCACAGACCCCCCCGTGACCCTCATCCTGCCCCATAGACCCCCCCATGTCTCTCATTCTGCCCCATAGACCCCCCCGTGACCCTCATCCTGCCCCATAGACCCCCCCGTGACCCTCATCCTGCCCCATAGACCCCCCGTGACCCTCATCCTGCCCCATAGACCCCCCCATGTCCCTCATTCTGCCCCATAGATCACCCCGTGACCCTCATCCTGCCCCACAGACCCCCCCGTGACCCTCATCCTGCCCCATAGACACCCTGAAGACCCCCATCCTGCCCCCCCATGGACTCCATGCATCCTCCCTCCGCCAAGATGGCGGCCCCCAGCCCGGCTTCACCAGCGGGGCGGAACCCGCCGAAGTCACGTGGAGGTGGAAGGCGGTGCCAAGATGGCGCGGGGGGCGTTGTGTGTATATGTGGGGAGGGTGAAGCACGTGATCGGCAGCTCCAAAATGGCCGCGCCCATGGTGCGGGAGGCGAGGGGCGGGGCCAGAGATGCGCCGAAGGGTAATGGCGGCGGGGGCGGGGCTTCGGAGCCTTAAAGGGGCCGCGGCTTCGAGGCCTTAAAGGGGCCGCGGCTTCGGGGTCTTAAAGGAGCCGCGGCTTCGAGGCCTTAAAGGAGCCGCTGCTTCGAGGCCTTAAAGGGGCCGCGGCTTCAGGGCCTTAAAGGGGCCGCGGCTTCGGGGTCTTAAAGGAGCCGCGGCTTCGAGGCCTTAAAGGAGCCGCTGCTTCGAGGCCTTAAAGGGGCCGCGTCTTCGGGGCCTTAAAGGGGCCGCGGCTTCGGGATCTTAAAGGGACCGCGGCTTCGGGGCCCTAAAGGAGCCGCGGCTTCGAGGCCTTAAAGGGACCGCGTCTTCGGGGCCTTAAAGGAGCCGCGGCTTCGAGGCCTTGAAGGGGCCGCGGCTTCGAGGCCTTAAAGGAGCGGGTCTCAACGCGGGGCTGATGCGGGGCTCCGCTCCCATCCCCGGTCCTGGCGGCGGAGCCCGCTCTGTGCTCCCGGTACCGCTGCGATCTCCCCCCCCCGCCTCTGGAGCTCGCTCCCCGGGGGCCGGGCGTTAGGACCCGGGCGGAGGCCTCGCCGCTTCCCGGCTGGCTCCCGGGCGTGACGTCAGGCGCGGGCCCGCCCCGGCCCCCTCGCTCGGCGGAATGCTGCTCTCGGTGCCGCCGCGCTCGGGCCTCCCCGCCTTCACCTACAACAAGAGCGGAAAGAAGGTACCGGGGGGGGGGGGCCCGCACCGGGGGGCACGCACAGGACGTGGGGGGGGGGACGGAGCGATGCGGGGAACCCCCCCCCCCCCCCCCCCCCCCCCCCCCGCGTTCGACGGCGCGCACAGGCGTGCACACGCACATGGGTGTTACATGCGTGTGTCATGCTTGGGACATGCGTGTGATGGGGGGGGGGAGTGGGAGCAAAGGGGTCCCCCCCCCATTCGCACCCCAAGTTGGGAGTTGGGGGGGATCCAACCATGGAAAAGGGAAGGGGGGGGTCAGGGTTTGTGGGTGCTGCCCCACGGTGCCCACAGGCGTGCACACGCACATGGGTGTTACATGCGTGTGTCATGCTTGGGACATGTGTGTGCTGGAGGTGGGGGGTATCCATGGGGTACTGCATAAAGGGGAGTGGGGGGGTCCCCCCCATTCGCACCCCAAACCGGGAGTTGGGGGCATCCCCATGGATGTGGGGCAGGATCCAACCATGGAAAGGGGAAGGAGGGGGGGGTTAAGGTTTGTGGGTGCTGACCCCTTCCCCCCCCATAGCAGCCCTATGTGGCACCGGCGCAGCCCCTGGGCCCCCCCAGCCCCAGCCCCACTGGAGGGGGGGCCCCGGACCAGCTCAGCAAAACCAACCTCTACATCCGGGGGCTGCACCCGGGCACCACGGACCAGGACTT